GAAGGTTGTGCTAGTTTCAAACTAGAAAACTTTGGCTTATAGAGCTGCATGCTATTTTTTGAAATTCCAAAATTTACCCTAGGCTATAGCCCACCCCAGCTTATTCTACCTCCGCCCTTGATTGTTATCGACTCTTCAGTATGTACAAGGCTACAAGCCATTGTTTTTTACTGGTCTCACCATGAATGCTCCTATATATCATTCCCTAATGAGAGGAGCTTTAATCTTATGGTACTTTAGGTCTTTGTTGTCCGGGATTTGATGTTCTTGTTCTTTTTCATGTTACTTGTATCAATTTCTTTACTAGTAAAATTTGGGTTTCTTGTAAAAAAAAGGGAAATGATTATACTATGCTCTGTAATGGAATTCTAGTCTTCGGACAATTTTGTCTTTTCAAGTATGTCCAAGAAATCTTAGAACTTAAGTGAGTCAGAAACCTTGATTGCAGATTTCATGGATGGAGAAGTTTGTTCAGAAAGGGACTGAGATTATTGCTCCAGCACCAATGGCTCCTCCTGGAACTACTGGACTTGGAGGCTTTGAAGTTCCTTCGTCCAAAGGAGGTACTCTCCGTTCTGATGCAAGTGCTTTAAACATTGGGGTCCTACATCTGGTACCCACGTTGGAAGTCTTTCCATTATTGGCGGACCCAAAAACGTAAGTCAACTTATAGATTTTTATTGATCACTACCCTGCAAATATAGTTGCTGGGGCCTAGATTAGATGGTAACTATACCTCTCTGATAGAGTGGAGTTCCATGATCACCCTTCCCGTATGTCCTATCCTCACAAAGTGTGCTTTTTGGAACTTCGACAGTTTCACTCAGTGTGTTGGTATCCTTTACAATGATACAAGTGAGACACTAATATGTTTGGTACAGCCGTGGGGCACGTCTTTTACCAGGATTTGATGATTGGTGCTGAGTCTTACACTATTTTGGTTTTTTTAATCTTACATGTCCTTTTACACTAAATACTTGTTTTGTTTGTTTTTCTGATGTTACAGGTATGAGCCTAACACTATCGATCTCTCAGATCACGGCGAGTTAGAGTGAGTACATGCTGTTAGTTTTCTTTTTGTTTGGAAATCCTCAAGAGTCCATCTGCACAACGCTAGTAACTATAATGTGTTATTTGAAATTGTCTATGTCCAAATTTATGAATGATTAGTTTGTTATGGGTAATTTGAGTGTCTTTCGTGTTATAGGTACTGGTTCACTGTGCTGTCAGAGCATCTACCAGACCTCGTTGATAAGGTAAACATAGCATCAGCTAGAGCATCTGTTTCATAGAACTCTATTTTTTTCTACTGTCTAAAGTTTTATAGGCAACCGGGTGTCCGTCAGTTATAGTTAAATGTGGAAAATATTGAAAAGTTCACTTTCTCTTTGGTTTTTGTTTATGCGGTTTTGCATTTCCATTTTGTTAGTGCTCATTGTGTATTTAGAATCTTCCTTGATAATATTAATGCAAACAGAAATTCAGATTGGATACATTTTCATTATTGATTTATGACTGATTATGTTAGGCAGTGGCAAGTGAAGGTGGAACGGATGATGCTAAAAGAAGGGGCGATGCTTTTGCTCGTGCTTTTTCTGCTCATTTGGCACGGTATCTATGCTATGAGAAATTATATCTAATATTTGTTGTATTATATAACATTCTGGTCTGTTATAAAGCTTGAAACTCCTGGTTCTGTGCGTCATACATGTGCGTACAAGTTTGTAATGCTATCATGTATCCTGTCTGAAACCTTTTTTTTTTTTTCTAAAATAATATGTTCTTGGAGATCAATGAGATTTTTATTTGCACTTATTCCATTTAACATCTTCCAACTGGCTGTATAGGTTGATGGAGGAGCCTGCTGCATATGGAAAGTTAGGGTTGGCAAATCTATTGGAACTAAGAGAAGAATGCTTGAGGGAGTTCCAATTTGTTGACGCGTATAGAAGTATAAAACAAAGGTAAAAGAAAGTCTTTAAATAGTGTAAAAGAAGGTCTTGCCTGATGAAAGTCATTGTTTCATATACTTAACTCGTAGTGATTCTAACCCTCTCCTGGTTTACGAATGCAACAGGGAAAATGAGGCATCACTTGCTGTTTTAGCCGATCTGCTGATGGAGCTTGATAGTATGAGTGAGGTACAATTCCTGTTCTTCATTCAATATGGTGGTTACCAAATGCCATTAAGGTATCAGTTGATATTTATCCTATTCATCTTTCATTCGGTCTTTGCAAAAGTTTAAAGAGTATGGAAGCCTACTCTATTATGGTTGAACTGTGGTAAATATAAATTGTTGTGGGCACCTCGCTACATTTTCAGACGGTTTAGTTTGTTCCTTCCAGCACAGTTGAGCCATTCCAACTGGCACGTTTTGAACTGTTGTTCTGATCATTCGAAATCTTCTTAATTTACAGGAAGCAAGACTACTTACCCTTATTGAAGGTGTCCTTGCTGCAAACATTTTCGACTGGGGATCCCGTGCCTGCGTGGATCTCTATCACAAAGGAACGATTATTGAAATTTATAGAATGAGCCGCAATAAGATGCAAAGACCTTGGCGCGTAAGTGGATTCAAAACAAAGTTCCCTTGTCCTTTCAGTTGTTTCAAATTACTTGCCGATTGGGTATTCGAATGTAAAAGAGCTGTTAATCTTTATGCAGGTGGATGACTTTGATGTTTTCAAAGAGAGAATATTAGGATCTGGAGATAAAAAACCTCGTCCACATAAAAGAGCTTTGCTATTTGTGGATAACGCGGGTGCTGACGTTATTCTAGGAATGCTGCCCCTAGCACGGGAACTTCTCCGACATGGAACGGAAGTAAGTTTTGCTGCCAAGGCTCATTCCGTATCTAATTAAGTTGTGCATTGAAAACATCGTAATAAGATTGATTTTGCAGGTTGTCTTGGTTGCCAACTCCCTCCCAGCTCTAAATGATGTAACTGCAATGGAGCTTCCTGAAATTGTTGCCGAATCTGCCAAGGTCAGTCCACAAGCATGATTAAGTCTTTTAGCCTTTCTTTCGTATATATAAAATGATGAGGCAAAAAGAAACTGATTCTTCTAGTCAACAGCATTGTGACATTCTTCGCAGAGCTGCTGAAGCAGGAGGTTTACTTGTCGATGCAATGGTTAGCACTCTAGACGGTTCCAAGGGAAATTCATCTTCAGTTCCATTGATGGTTGTTGAGAATGGTTGCGGCAGTCCTTGTATAGACTTACGGCAGGTTAGCTCTGAGCTAGCTGCTGCTGCAAAAGAGGCCGATTTGGTATGATCCTTGTTCAAACTACTAAAACCATTGTCAAGCATTACTCATAACATGATAAACACCCGAAGAAAAAAACAGAACGAGTTAGAAAAACTCTTTGAATCATTCTATTGACTGAATACTATTCATGCAGGTTATCTTGGAAGGGATGGGCAGGTCTCTTCATACCAACTTTAATGCAAAGTTTAAATGTGATGCGTTAAAGGTGAGGATTTCAATGGTTGTCGGTATTAACCTTGGTGTGATGTTTCCGTTAGAGATAGTGAACCAAGTGAACTTTGATCCAACCCGCAATAGGATTCTAACGTTTTCTTTTACACTGCAATAACAAGAACAACTTCTAATGCAGCTTGCAATGGTGAAGAATCGAAGGCTGGCCCAAAAACTGATCCAAGGCAACATATACGACTGTGTTTGCAGATACGAACCAGTAAGTTAAAAGCTCCGGTTCGCATCATCTTGTAGCGCCCGGTTGTAAGCCATGGGAGGTCTCGATCTTAGGATACAACCGCTCGATACAAAAACGATTAAAGACTATGATTGTATGCAGATTTACAAGGACCCCGATTCAGTGGCGGGGTTAATGGTTCTCTTCTCTGTATGTTATGTATTTGTTCATTGGCATCCGAAAGGATGCGGCTTTTCGATTGTGCAAACAAATTTGACACAAAATAATGTCGTCGACAAAACTAAAGTACGACGAAAAAGAACTGAAATCGTCACCAAAGGTTATATACTGCGACCAACTAGTTTATATCTTGGAACTTTTTTCTGATTACGTAAAATCATGCTTTTAAATGTGCGGTCCTGATTTACATCCTACGGATTTTATGGATCCGCATCTTTTTCAATTATAATTCTTATAAAATATTATGGTTAGCTCTTTGTGAAGGTTATACTCCGATTAGTTTACCAAAAAAAGGTTATACTCCGACTATACTCTTATCATATTTTGATCAAATTTACGAGTTGCTCAACTATAGTTTGTTTCTACGAATTGTGATTGGAAATTCTCCCTTGATTTCTCTTAGAACATTTTCTTTTATCAATGTGAATTTGCATTAAGTTACAGGATCGACTAACCATAATAATTAGTTATTGAATTCTTATCCTTGTGAATTTACATGGTTCTAGTTGAGTAATCTCTTTGATGTTTGAAGATATTCGAGAAGAAAATTACATTGGAGGCTAATTAGTTGATGTTAAGCTACTTTATGAAATAAATGGGTCAAGCAGTAATGTTGTCGTCTTCATTTAAACGTGTGCTATATGAGTTAACCATGATAATGTGTTATTTCTACCACACATTAGTGATAATTAATCTCCCTTTCATGCAACCGTACGAGGCGATAATGTACTTTTAATCTTCGAATCAAACGATACGTCAAAACAGAGTCAATAACTCTAAAAATTATGGAATAAATATACATCATGCTAAAAAAGACTCAAATCTAACAAAAGTCTAGTCAGTCAGTACTATAGTCTTGTGGTATTCCTCTTCGCTTAGAAGTGAGAGGTCTTAGGTTCGAATCTCGTGGATGGTGAATTCAATACTAAATTAAGTTGCTCATTATGTGACTTAATCGAACTTCTCGCTTACGGCAAAAATATCGATCTACTCAAAAAATCTAACTAAAGTCTAGAGTGCTTACGTTCTCACGTGTACTAAGAGGACGTGCAGGCCACAAAAACCACCTTTAAATACCGACATTTTGCTACAACATAGCCGAGAGCGACTCTCTCCCTCACTCACTCACACTCACTCACTCAATCTCTCTCTCTCTCTCTCTCTCTCTCTCTCTCTCTCTCTCTCTCTCATTCAGTTCGATACGCATCTTTCGCCTCTTTGGCCTTTTCCCCATAGATTCCTCAAAACTTGTAACTCTCGAGGATCTCACGCGCCGACCCACCATTCCAGCTTAGGGTTCGTCTCGGATCACACAGGCTCAGCACTCATGGAGCAATCATACATTTTTCTTGAGGTAATTTCATTGTTTCCTCTTCTGTAATTTCTTTCTGGTAGTTATGGGTCTTAAATTTTAATTTTTTAGAGAAGAAATTTATTTAATATTTAGGTCTTTGCTATCATTCTGCCCTAAAAATTTTGTTTGTTTTTTTTTTTGTTTTTTTTTGGGTGCTGAATTTTTTTAGTGATGATAACAAAGCTTTGTTCTTTTTTGTTTATTTTCGTTTTTTTCTTCATTAGGTTTGATGTTGGGAAAAATCGGTGGACTTGTTAGGAATTTGTAGACAATGGAGAGGCCAAAGACCCCAGAAACCCTAGAAGATCAAAACCCTAGTGGTAAAACCCTAGAAGGGGCATCTGAGTTGTTAGGGTGGAGTGAGAACTGTACTGGGTTGGAGTCATTTCCTGGAATTTTGGGAGGTAGTGGAGAAGGAGTTGGTGTTACCGGTAATGATGCGGCACTTGGTTATGTGGAAGGGGTGACTCAAGCGGTGGAAGCCAAGAAAGGAATCCTGGATGGTAATAAAGGAGAGGATTTGGGATTGTTGGGTATGGATGCAGTTTCTGGTATGTTTAATAGTTGCATGAATGGTGTTGGGGTTGAGGAGGCTTGTTGGCTTAATGGTGGGGTTGGTGGGGAAAATGAGGCTCAAATGGGCTCCCAAAGGTTGCCATCCGAAATAGGAAATGATGTTCTGATTGATTTTGCGGAGCCACAGTCAGATGGGAACGGGAACTTAGAGGATTTGGGTGGTAATGAGAATGAAGAGGGTGGAGTTGATGTGGAAAGCGATGCTCAAATGGGTTCCCAACATTCCCTATCAGATAATGGAAATGACGTGCAGACGGATTTTGTGGAGCCACAGTCAGATGGGAACGGGAACTTTGAGGATTTGGGTGGTAATGATAATGAAGAGGGTGGAGTTGATGTGGAAAGCGATGCTCAAATGGGTTCCCAACGATTGCCATCAGATAAGGGAAATGACGTTCAGATGGATTTTGCGGAGCCAGAGTCAGATGGGAACAGGAATCTCGGGAACTTAGAGGACTTGGGTGGTACTGATAATGAAGAGGATGGAGTTGAGAAGATAGCTGATTATGATGATGGTATGAATGAAGGAAAAGCATTGGGATTGAATGGGATTGACTTAGTTGGGGTTGACTCATCTAGCAAGAAGATAGAAGTTTCGGATGATGGTATATCACTGTTTGTGGATTTTAGTGGCCATCCACCAGATGATCTTCAGGTGGCAAGTTGTCCTGGATTTGCAGGTACAGAAACTGTAGAAGAATTTGGACATGATGAACAGGAGAAGGATTTTGATTATCAAGGCTATGGTTTTTCTGTGGGTGACATTGTATGGATTAAAACCAAAACCCAGACATGGTGGCCTGGTAAAATATATGATCCAGTATATGCGTCAAAGTTTGGTGCCAGTGGGGATCCAGGGGGCTGTCTACTAGTTGGATATTTTGGGATGAGTCATGTAGCATGGTGCCATCCATACCAACTAAAACCTTTTCGTGAGTACTTTGAGCAGATGTCGGGGCAAAGCAAGGCTAGAATATTCCTTGGAGCTGTTGAGAAAGCACTCGAAGAGTTTGGTCGGCTTGTAAAATTGAATATGACTTGTATGTGTGTTTTGAAAGAAAACCACCTGTCAGCCAGTGATGCAGAATCTAACAAAGGAATTCCCATGCCTGACCGCAAATCTGGCAAACTTGGTGAATTTTCAGTTGATCATTTTAATTCTGCAGAGTTTCTTGCGCATCTCAAAAATCTTGCACTGGTTGTTTCCATAGGTGGCACACTTGATTTTGTTGTCAAACGAAATCAATTATCAGCCTTCTACTGTTCCATAGGGCACAGCCAACTGCCTATGCATCTACTCCGGGAAACAAATGATGCTGAAGATGGTGCTGATTGCAAGTCAATGGCTAAACGTAATGTCGACATTCGGGTTGGATATGGAGATACTGAGCTAGATGAAGTGTTCTTGAAAAGCACACCATTAAATAACTCTCAGAAGAATGGAAGAAATGAATTGTTAGACAAGGTTTTTGATGGAGACAATATTGCTGATGAAGGTTTCATCTCAGGTTCAAAATTGAGGAGGAGAAAGGTGAAGAGGGATTCTGACTTTGAATATGGTGATGTTGGAAATGAGGGAATGACTGAAAAAGGCATTGAATCAAAAGAACGGAAGAAGAGCAGGTACTTGTCTTACCCGTACATAAACTTGGGACAGAAGGGATTGCCTGCTGAAATGGATGATGAGGGAGTGGCTGCAAATGTTGATGCCAGCCAGTCTAGTGGATCGCCTTCTAATTTTAAATTTACTGGTGAGAAGTTCTGGAGAAAGTGGTATAAAAGGCTTACAGGTGAAAGTAACATATCCGGTGACCCAAACTTAATAAATGCATCTTCTGCTGAGTTGCTTTCTGAAATCTACTCTACAGCTGTCAACTGCCTATATCCGAACGAAAATAAGACATTTGATTCAGTTGCCTGGTTTGTTTCTAGATTCAGGATTTCAGTATTTCATGATGAATCTATTTGTGAAGCCTATCGTAACAATATGGCTGGTCAGGAAGATGCTAACCCCAACCTGTTGGGATATAGCAGTCAGAACGAGGCAAAATCTGAACCAAAGAAAAGGAGGAGAAAGTCTAAGTTGAAGCATCCAGAGGGCGAAGACACTGCCAGCATACCAAATCTAGTTCAAAGCACTTCAACTGGTACAAAGAAAAGGGGACGACCAAATCTGGGAAGATTGAAGACTAAATCCCTTTCTGGACTGTCAGATGTGAATATTGGCATCACCCCTGATAGCTTTTTGGTGCAAGAGTCGTTGGACGTACACCCTCTCATGCCCTGTGGTAAGCAAAAGAATAGAAAGATCGATGATGTAGCAAGTCCAGTGTGTCTGCAGAATAAACAAACTACAGGAATTCCAGATTTAAATGGGAACAATCTTCTACCTGGCCTTCTCGGTGATGATCAACAGGCTATTGGCACTGCTGCTTCTGAAGGTAAAGTTTTGTTAGAAAATAGGTTAGGGAGTGAAACGGCTTCAGAGCATTTGAAGTCTAATATCCCTGCTGGCTTTGTAGATGTGAATGTAAACAATGTGAAACCTGGTTCTTTGGTTGTAGATCTGCGGGTTTCTCCTCAAGCTTTGTCATGCCTGGACCCCAAACAGATTACTGGCTTACTCTCAGCTGAAACTAGGCCTGCACAGAGAAAGAGAAAGAGAAAGGAGAAAGCAGAACCAAAGCCTCCGGCTGATGGTATTCCAGATTTGAATGGAAGTAGTGCTGAATGCAACTTATTGGGAAAGACATGTCAAGAGTTTAATGGCCTTACGCCTCCAATTAAACCAGAGCGGAAGAGGAGGAGGAGAAAAGGAGAAGCTACCGCTATGCAGCGGAAACTGGATGTGAATAATGGTAAAGCTCAGATTAATGATAAGGCTCTGGCAACTGCTCTTATGTTGAACTTTTCCCCAGGAGTAGCAATGCCTTCAAAAGATGATTTGATTTCAACATTTTGTCGGTTTGGACCTTTGAAGGAGTCGGAGACACAGATGTTGAAAGATCCTGGTAGTGCCCAGGTTGTATTCATGGAAAATGCTGATGCTGGAGAAGCACTTCGGAGTCTAGAGAAGGACAACCCTTTCGGAGGAAACCTCGTTAGTTACAAGCTCTTCCATCTTCCATCTGTGTCCAGGGTTTTAGAACCAGGTTGGTCTCTCCCCACAGGTCTAGCCTCTCCAAGTTTGCCTGAAAAGGCACCTCGCCTCGACTTCATAAGGCAGAATCTTCAGATGATGACATCAATGCTGGAGAACTCAGGAGACAATCTTTCTCCGGAGATGCGAGCAAAGCTGGAGTGTGAAATTAAGGCCCTCCTGCAGAAGGTGAGCTCCATGACTGGTTCTTCTTCCTCTCTTAATTGGAATTGAAGGTTATGGAAGTCTTATATGCGTTGTCTGTAAATGTAGGGAGTGACTCCTTCGGGCAGGCTCTGTAGGTGAATTAATGTTAGAATTGGAACCTTTGTAATTTATTGCATGTCATGGCATAGGCAAATGACCTATTGCATTCGAACCTCTATGTATCTCTAGTAATTCGGCTTTTCGTTATTTCATCTCTCTCTCTCCCTCCCTCCCTCCCTCCCTTTTGTAGTGTTATTTCATCACTCGGTTCTCTCTAGTAATTCGGTTTTTTGTTGTATGGATTTTTCTTATGGTTGTGTTTGGGGTTCTTGTTTATGTTTGGGCTGCAAAGTGAACGAAGCTGAATTTAAAACAATGATGAGTTATATCACACAGGTCGGACGATTTGGTTTTGCTGTTTAGACCGGTTTGTTTATGGTTTGTAACTTAAAACAGGCCGGACCGTTAGGTTTTTCTGTTTAGACCGTTATCTTTCAGTTTCAGCCTGGCCGGAGTTTTGGTTTTCAGTGGTGGTGGCAGAGGACTGCCTCCCACGCCGGACGTCAAAATAGTCGAGCAGTGTTTCAATCTCCAAAACAAAGCTGGAAAGCTTATTTCAAACCAAGCTTTTGCAGAAGAGTCACAAAATTATGGCTTCATATCAAATTTGTATTCACAACAGAAAATTCATATTCGAAAATCGCGAACAACTTTCCGGAGATCATGAAACCCGATTGAGCAGAAACAACAATGCAAATCGTTTCAGGAACACAATAAAACAACTTCGAATGCTACTCCATAACGGCAACTCCTCCAGCCGTCTTTATTTTCTCAATTATGTCACTTGCTTCCTCTTTGGTAACCCCTTGTTTAAGCACGCAAGGTACCTTCTCGACAAGATCCTTAGCCTCCTTCAATCCCAGATTGGTAAATGTCCTCACTTCCTTGATCACCTTGATTTTTGCAGCGGCATCGAACTTCTCCAATTTCACATCAAAAGCCGTTTTCTCCACCTTCTTTTCCTCGGCCTTTGAACCACCAGCTGCCCCTCCCTGTGAACCCAAGTCCAAGCCTTCTGTCGATATTGGTTGCAGCTTCGGATGCCTTAGCCTCTCAGCAAGAGTAGGACCAAGTTGGCGCCGTGCTTCAGGGGCCAGTGCTGCAATTCGCTCAGCAAGCTGAATGATTTTATCTGAAGGTGGAGGCCTAGGACCGTACGGGTCATAGAATGCCGGATATTTGTACTTTTTTGGCTTGGCATTGGGATCCCGGGGCACAAAATCAGGTTGGAAGCAACGAAACTGCAAAGGACCAGTTGTTTCAGGGAGAGTGGGACGGGCACGAAAAGATCTGGCAACTGCAATGAGCCTCATGGTTCTTTTTGGATCAATGGAAAAATTGCCTCATAGAATGAAAGATAGCTCAAAAGGCTGTTATCTGCATTAACCAAGTTGCACCATTGGGTTTATATAGCACAATCTGAACCGAATGGAAAATGTCGAGAAGTCGCCTGTCTGGAGGAAAATAAAAACAGAAGAAACTTCAATTAGCAAAAGGAAGAACATTCCTTATCATTGTAAGTTTTACGAATGCATCACCGGTCCTTCTGCAGACTGATTAAGTCTACAGCTTCAGGATCATGTTACATGTCAATGTACATATCTAACATAAAAAAACAACAACAGGAGAGAATTAAAATTAATGGAGAATTCAAAGGGGCATTTCCACAAACGTGTGGCGTGCAATGACAATGGCTCGTAGAAAACAAACAATTTCCCAGAAAATAATGCTCAAAAGCTATCAATTTTAACAAACTAACCACAATATTTAACAACCCCATTAGCTTAAAAATCCCGCCCTAATCGTTTCGTACAAAATTTACCCTTTTTTACTACAAACTCGTAATATGGCTCTGGGTTTCTCATAAAACTCAAAAACCTCCATAGAAGAAAACAAAATCATCTGAATTCAACAAAACCAAAGGATATTCCAAAGAATAGGAAAGATTTAAGAGAAACCCACAAGGAAGAAACTCACCGTAGCTTTGTAAGTGCGAGCGAAAACAGCAGCCAACTCCAGGAGAGCGAAATGAGGCAGAGAAAGCCAAAAAAATACGTAGGAGATGACTGGAAAAGTGTATATGGTTTGGTTCGGGTTACTATTGGACCCAACTAAACCTATTACTGAGGGTGGATTTGCCTACTTGTGTCCAAGGTTTCTGGGCTGGTGGACACAATAGTTTACTCCTAGACCCAATTCTGAGGCCCCAAGACCCCCAAACCAATTAAGAAAACCTACCCATTTAAGAGTTGAGCCTAATCTCGAGATTCAAATCCACAACTTGAGGTGTGTGGCTAAACACTCTTAACCGACTGAGCTACAAATTCTCTTATGCCTGATGGCCAAGTCTAGAAGAACTTTAACAAAACAATCAAAAGTGTGAGAGTGGGTAATATTTTTGGAAACGTGAGACTTGTCGCAGTCAACGGTGGCAGATATAATCTTAAGAAGGTTTCTAGTTAGAGCGCTGTTATTTGGAGCATATTTATTGATTTCATCATTGACTGCATCTCTAATACAAGTAATGTGAGCCAAATAACATTATTCTTGTCTTATATATTCATAAATCTCATGAATGTACTAGTGTCGAGCGCATTGCATGCCCCACCTAACTTTTTGCCTACATAACTATATTATATATACCATGACAAGGCTTTTACAAAATAAACCTTCTTCAATTATTCAACTCAAGTCTGATCCATAGGGCAAAAAATTATAAATAAAAAACCTTAATTATCAAGTAAACTTAGGAGTTTTTTCTCTTTTATAATGCCAATTAGTAACTTTGTTTGTGTTACTATTTTTTCTTACAAGTTGTGCTAAAATTTTCTTCTCCTTCCATGTCTATTTTCTTACACCAACAATGGGGTCCTCATGGCAAGAAAGAACTCAAAACTCAAAGATTAAATAGTAAGTTTTGCTTTCACTGAAAACTCTGGTTTGCTCTCCTTTTATGTCTCAACCATTCCCAACCAGAAAGGCAGTTTACAACACTTTATAACTTAAACACACTCCAATCTCCATCGATTTGAGATATTTTTCAGTGTGTTGGACACACGGTTTGGTATATCATGTGTAATAATAGAATTGGTTGAAGATTTCAAAAAAAAAACAACTATTTTAATATGACACTTGGTTTGCCAAATTGAAAAATTTCTAACATCGACCATGGAGACAAATTGCACATGAAAAAGAGATAATTAAGACTACTGATTAAGTACTAAATAACACATAATCTATATTTAATTAAACTTTTAGACCATAAAGAAACACCACTATATCTTCCTCGGTATTACAACAAATCCTGGACCTTTGAATCGTCTTTCACTTGCAGCCAATGAGTACAACAAATTGGAAGAAAGACCAAAGACAAAAAAGAAAGAAACAAAAAGAAAATTAATAATACAACAAAAACCAATCATATCTTGCAGCCAAATGCAGTACTCATTTTTGGACTCTCCATGCTCCCATTCACACACTCTTTGTTAAGTCAATAAAGATGAAAGCAATGCCACCTCCATACATAACCACTGCCCAACCCAACCACCCCACAGAAAGGAAAAACACAAAGAAATTAAACCGTTTTTCTAAAAGACGTACATTATCTTGAGAATCGGCAATGTGATATTTTGGCACCTATATGCATGTATGTGATGTCGACTCATCACATACATGCATAGAGAACTAGCAGTGCATGCAGTGGTAGTAGTAGTAAATAACCTACTGATCTCAATGCAGATGATTTATAATTAATTGAAGTCACTAATCACGCCTAATTACTTAATTAGACTAATGGATTTGTTGTGGAGGGGACATAACTGTTCATCACATTGCTCCATGATCCTAGGCCATTGAGGTACCCAAATGAGTCCTTTCCAAGGTCAGAGCAACCAGCTTGGTCTTGCCACTCAAGCGATAAGAGCTTCGTGTTTGGTTTCATATCCATTGCATTAATTTGATGATGATCCTCATGATTTGCTTGATCATATGGCAACATTAACCTCTGGCAACTGTCCATGAAATTACCATTCTGCCCATCAAGTGATGACATCCCAAATGGAGATGAGCAAATGCCATGAAAGCTTGACTGATGATCTAATCCATGACTAACTCCACCCATATTATTTCCATATCCACCCATCATACCCAAATCAGCACCACCCCCCATGAAATCATAGTTCCTGGCATTCTCCACTATAGCCTCCAACTTGCTCTCCATGAAATCAATCGGTCTAGGGTTACTATTGTCCATGAAGCTACTAGGGTTCATATTACTTCCAAGCATCAAGTTATTGAGGTGTGAGAACTGCATCTGATCAGGAAAAGAAAGGTGGAGATCAGTTGGGATGTGAGATATCGACGACGAAGATGATCCGGGGTGGTGGTGTTGGTTCATCAACGATGAAGGGCTCTGATCATTGGGTTTCTTGGAAGAAACTTTCTTGTTCTTTCTACACCCGCCGCCGACGGGGATGTTTCTGAGCGTCCCGCCTTTGGTCCAGTACCTTCTGCAGGTCTTGCAAAAGTACCTAGGTTGGGAGAGGCTGTAGTTGTTGTAGTAGCAAAACTTGGTGTGGGTGGAATCGCACCTAGGGCACTTGAGGGCTTGGTCGTGCTGGGGCCTCAGCCTCCGCTCGACCAACGGCCTTGAGCACGTTAACATGTCACCGGATAACGGCGAGGACGAATCCATCGGAGAGTCCTCGCGAATCGTTCCCTGCAGACATGGAAAGGAATTTAGGAGATTGCGTCAGAAAATATTATTTTTGTACTCCATCACTTAATAATTTTAGGGCGACACTCTTTGTCCTTCCGCTGCATATCAATTAATCAAGCCAACATAAAGCTAGCTAGAAAGTACTACTAACATTTAGTGAAAATAGCTTCAAGAAAATTGGAAACTTGAGGGGGGGAAAAAAAGAAACGGCACAGTCGAAACTACTCTACTTTCATCAAACTATTGTTCACATTATGCTCATATTTATGAATTTAATAAAAATTCTGATGGGAATTTTTTTTTCCCTATATGACGTTATTTTGTTTTTAGGTTATCAATGAGAGTTTCGATATTACCCTATCCACATTTCCCAACTAGCTAAAAATTATAGACTTCTTTGGTTATGAATGTGGTTGTCTCATCTCATCACTAGCTAAAATAATAGCATTTTCCATGGCATTACAGCGCTGTCTATAAGATACTTTGGTCCTTAAATTCTAGGAAAAATGTATATTAGTTATTCTGCTAGCAAATATATATTAGGCGCTTTCAATATATTGCATTTTCAGGTGCGAACTCATGATGAACTGAGGATGGAGCTAGTGGTCACATAATATAAATTAAACTAAATTAAAATGTCTGCTATGAAAACAAAAACAAAAACAGAACAGAAATAAACAAATTGGTGATGATGAAGTACAACGTACCTGTAGCCAGTCAGATGAATCCATGCAAACTTGCAGAGAATTATGACCCATCAAACAAAATTAGCCGAACCCAGAGAGAGAGAGAGAGAGAGAGAGAGAGAGTCCAAGCAGAAGCAACAATTTTAACCAAAATTTTTCCCTCATACACACTTCATTTCCTTAGCTCCCTCCAGTTCCACTAAGCGAGAGAGAGAGAGAGAGAGAGAGAGAGAGAGAGAGAGAGAGAGAGAGAACAAGTATGTTAATGAAGGAAAGAGCTACTGAGGGAATGAATGTAGCTAAGTGATGGGAAGAGGAAGGTTCTTATTGTGTGGGAGGGGTTGGTGTTGGAACTATATAACAAGAAGAAGAAGCCACAAGAAAAAGGCGAGTGTGTGTGTTTGAGTAGAGCTGCTGAGCTTTCTAACCCTACACACACTCTCTCACTCGGCAAGGATATGTAAACACCGTCGGTGGCAGCCCCAATGGCCCCTAGCCTGTCTGCACTCGGACCAACACTGGCCCCACACCTTACCTCACCTTGACTGAAAGCCTTCCTTCACAACGAACGGCCCTGATGCCATCATGGATTTTAGGATTAGACAGCTTGGGCCGTTGATGTCATAGTATCATACGTCAGAGATAACGGCGTGGTCGTAACACTTGAACGATCGTCAGTTTATGTGACATGACAGAATGAGAGACTGAGAATATTTGGGTCCTAGATAAAGAAGGATACCGAAAGAGCACTCCACTTGCGGGCCCAAACGTGTGGGTCCCATTCGCCCTCCTTCTACAAGCAAAGGATATATTCTTCCCACCCTCCCCCTAATCATGTGCAACGTTCTGGCACGTGTATATGTCCACTGTTTTCGTAGACTTCGATCGAGTTATCAACTCCAGAAGTCTAAACAGTTTCATTTCTTGATTAGTCATCCTAATATGTTTCTGATTTGTAAATGTTTGATTTTGAAAATTATTCCTAAACTGTTAAGTGAAAGTTTAAACTTTAAAACACTTGCATTTTTTTTTATGAGTAGATTTATCTTAATTGTGGAAAGACAAACAGATAAGTGTAGTCTCACTAGTACTACATACCCTAGAAACTAAAAAAGGAAGAAATCATTGCCTTTTGTAAAGAAGATTCTGATATGATTTTAGTAAAATCAGTTTAGATTATGTCATAAAACTACTGGACAATATATAGAGTAGTAACTTATTATAAAGATATACAATGTCTTTTACTCTCTAATGTAGAATGACGCTCTCAACACGGGGGTCAATTAAGCGTCATTTAATTTCACAATATATGAGTCATACTTTCAACACGCTTCGTCACATATGGCATTATTTAAGCCTAATATAGATACCTTCATAAAAGAAGCTATGGTTTCACTACAAAACTAATTGATAACAAGAGGAAGTAATGATCCATATTAGCACAATGTCCCTTGGTTCCTTTACCTGGGATAAACTCAATAGTACCACTAACCATATGCCAACAATACAGATATCGATCAATTGCTACATAATGTACGCGTGCGTATTACATTAACTAATATTGTTATAACCCAAATCAAATAACGCTTGGCGCGCTGGTTATGAATCAGGACGAGGGACATTCGAATTGAGCTAGCTCTAATCAATCTAACACACACACACACACACACACACACACACACACACACACACACATATATATATATATATATATATATATATATGTGACATG